TAAAGTACATCCAAAAATATAAGAAATTCCGGTAGATGACACGTGGCGCTTAAAATCGCTGTGTTCTCGAAGCTGTAATCCTCTACTCGATCCAGAAGGTCTTACCGATCCGAGAAAAACTTCAAAACGTTGCGTTTTATCCCTGTGACTTTGATATGACAGCATGGCACTACTTGTTTGGCTTTGTGGACGAAAATAAAAATTAAAACACCTTCTGGATTATATTCCAAATCCGACGTGTCAATTTCTGACTATCCATTCTGGATACTATTAAAACGAATCATACGGCCACTGAAGTTTTACTTGTATATATCGTCGCCGGCGAAAATGGCGACCAATCTTCTCCGGCTACCTCTTCCTCCGCCGTCGAGTCTGCTTATTCGTCCTGGTAAGCTCCTCGCCGTCAAATACGCGAAGCGATGGTTTCCCAGACAACGCCGCTCTTCTATCCGGCGGTACTGTTCAACACCTGGTTTTTTGGTATCAAACTCGGTCGAGATCAGTACTCAATCGTTTGAATCTACGGAATCTTCAATCGATTCTGTTAAACCTGTTACGAGCGACACGCCAATTCTCCTCGATGTGAGTGGGATGATGTGTGGGGGATGCGTCGCTCGGGTTAAATCGGTTCTGATGTCCGATGACCGAGTCGCGTCTGCTGTAGTTAACATGCTGACTGAAACCGCGGCTGTGAGGCTTAAACCGGAGGTCGAGGTGATGGAGGATGCGGCGGAGAGTTTAGCTAAGAGATTGACAGAGAGTGGCTTCGAGGCTAAGAGGAGAGTCTCCGTGATGGGAGTGGCGGAGAATCTGAAGAAGTGGAAGGAGATGAAGAGTAAGAAAGAGGAATTGCTCGTTAAGAGCAGGAACCGTGTCGCGTTTGCGTGGACGTTGGTGGCTTTGTGTTGTGGGTCTCACGGTTCGCATATTCTTCATTCATTGGGAATTCACATTGCTCATGGTATGTTGTTTCGCATGCTCTGTTCATTTGTTAGAGAATTTAATAATGATGCAAATTTTTGCTGTAAGATGTCATTTGTGTAATGCAAACGGAGTTTCTGACTTTCTCTTGAACCTGATGTTATTAGGAGGGTTCTGGGACTTGCTACACAACTCTTACTTGAAAGGTGGTTTGGCAGTTGGAGCTTTGTTGGGACCAGGAAGAGGTTTGCTTCTTCTTTTTAATACATTTTATAAACAAAAAAATCTAGAATGCTTACCAGCTAATGCATAATAAGTTGAGTAATTGGTATTATGAGAGAGAGAGATGACGAAGTATTCATATTTAGATGTTTGCTACTATTCTACTTACTTCCAATGTGGTCGAAGGGGTCATTTTGAGGTTATACAAAAAACCAACTTACTGAAACAAATATATGTATATTCCGGGGTTATTCACTATTTTGTTAGAACTTTATGAATTAGAATGTTGACCTTGTGATGTACTAGAAATTGAGAGGTCAATTTCATAAGAGAGAAACGATGGATTTCTTACTTCTTAAGTTAAAGCGATGGTTGCTACTATTCTTTGAGAGTTGCATAAAACGCTTCAATATGGTAGTGCCAGTGATATTTGAGGCTGACTGAAACAAATATTGTATATTGTAGAATTGCTGTTTGATGGCATAAAAGCTTTTGGGAAAAGATCACCGAATATGAACTCGTTAGTTGGACTGGGATCTATGGCTGCATTTTCCATCAGTTTGGTGAGTTTTTGTACTCTGCGATTTCTTTTTGGCTGGTGAGTATCCTATTCTGAAAAGCTGCGGTTCTCTGCATTCTGAATTTTGCAGATCTCACTTGTTAATCCAGAACTGGAGTGGGATGCTTCCTTCTTCGAGGAACCGGTGATTTTCTCTAACACATACACAAGGGACTATGATGATTTTATTTTTACTTCTACTGCATGGAAAATACAATCTCGGTGGTGAATTTTGATTGATAGCTCTTGTTATTTAGTATGCAGGTCATGCTGCTTGGTTTTGTGCTCCTTGGTCGTTCTTTGGAAGAAAGAGCAAAGCTTAGAGCCTCTAGTGATATGAATGAACTGTTGGTACGTTGGACATTTCTTGGTTCTCCTCCCAAGATTAACTTGTAGGCTTTTTCCTGCTTTTTTTACTTGAAACGTGCTTTTGCAGTCACTCATCTCCACTCAATCAAGACTTGTGATTACTTCATCAGAGAACAACACTGCAGCTGATACTGTACTTTCCTCTGATTCAATTTGCATCAATGTCCCAGTTGATGAGATTCGAGTTGGAGACTCGCTGTTGGTTTTGCCTGGTGAAACCTTTCCGGTCGATGTAAGTAATGGGATATTAGTTTCCTTATTTTCTTTGAATAGCATAGTTACTATTCCTTGTGACTGGGTTAGTAGTCACCAGAACTTTTACTGTCGTAATGATCATGTTGAAATAATATATTGGGCATAGGGGAGTGTCCTAGCTGGAAGAAGTGTCGTGGATGAATCTATGCTGACAGGAGAGTCGCTTCCCGTATTTAAAGAAGAAGGTCACTCAGTTTCAGCGGGAACAATAAACTGGGTATGTATGCGTTACCTAAACAAAAGTTTATTTTAAAAGGCTGCTTATGGTTTCATGCTTTTAATGTTTCATCTGATGACACACATCTCACTTTGGGATATGCTCCTCTTGCCAACATTACTGTAGTACTCTTCAGTTCATAATGTGAACCATGTTACCTACGGGGATAGATTTCTGTCTAGCTGCACTTACTGAGCTCAGTACTAAGTCTGATGTATATACAGTTGATCATGAATCTTTTTGAAAAAATAGAATTGCTTTACCTATTTCAGGATGGCCCTCTACGGATTAAAGCATCTTCTACTGGCTCCAACTCAACAATATCTAAAATCGTCAGAATGGTTAGTGTCTGAGTTTAGAGCCAATCGAATCTTCATAAAAGTTACATTGTGTGAGAGTTAATTCCATTCGTCACAATGTGAAACGTTGTAAAAGGAAAAGGCAGCCATTACTCTCTATAATATTTATCTTATTTTCCTCCTCCAAATAGAAATAACATGAATTAGTCACAATCCTACAAATAGAACTCATTCACATGTTTGTAGCTGAGCCTGTTTCAGACAGAAAGGTGTAGATGAAATCACGTGAGTAGTAAGTTTCTATTTCATCCACATCCTTTTCGTGTATGAAATCAGGTTCAGCTACAAACATGTGAATGAAGTCTATTTTTCGGATTGTCTAGATTAAGAGTATGTTATGTGTAGAAATTGAAATATGAATACCTTATGAAATACTGAACTTTTAGGTTGAGGATGCACAAGGTAAAGCAGCTCCTGTACAGAGGCTGGCAGATGCAATAGCTGGACCTTTCGTCTATACCATAATGTCTTTATCTGCAGTGACTTTTGCCTTCTGGTATGATCCTTTTTTCATATTCTACTGGAAATGACATCTGATTTTTCAGTGGGATTCTTATATTTGTTTTAGCAAGAGTCGATTTATTTAGTTGTAGTGTAAAACAGAAGCATCACATGTCACTTTCCTTTTCAGGATCACTGAGTGAAAGGCCCTTTTGTTTTCATGTTTCAGGTATTACGTTGGTTCACACATATTCCCAGATGTTTTACTCAATGATATTGCTGGACCTGATGGAGATTCTCTGGCACTAAGCCTAAAACTGGCTGTGGATGTCTTGGTGAGTGAGCCATAAATAGCAAAGTTATATATTAACATGGGTTGTTATTGGGACTTGTCGGATTAACAAGAAAAGAAAAATGGTGAATGTGGGGAAAATAAGAATTCGCAAAGGGCATGTAAGATAGAAGAACAATAGAGAGAAACTGTGGAGAAAAAAACCATCATAATGTGCAGATAATCAACTCATTTTTTTGTTGTTATCAGGTAGTTTCATGCCCCTGTGCACTGGGCCTTGCAACACCAACTGCCATACTAATTGGCACCTCTCTTGGTAAGTTATCCAACGTATTTTTTAGCTTGCACTTAATAGCCTATAAACCTAGCCGAGAAGAGTAACCTAACTGTGTGCAAAGCTTTCCAATTAATTGGAAGATTCAAAGATGACACTGAAGCTACCGATTGTTTCTGTACTATATTTCCCTGCTCTTTTGACTACCCTAGTATATGAAAAATCATTTAGTGGGTCAAAACTTCCGTTGTTGATGGCGGTTTCAGATGATACATAAAATTTCTAAAAATGGCCTAGAAATCATGAAGAATCTACTTTCTAGTTTCTGTTGAGCCGTATCTGCTTCAAGAGTGCAGTTTTTGTGGTACTCATTCATGTTTACAGGGGTAGTTAAAAGTTATATTACTTGAAAATGTTGTAATTCGCAACAATAAGTTCTAGATTGTTGAAATTGTCGGAAGCTAATATGATCAAGTGTACTGAATATGTCCAGGAGCAAAGCGGGGATATCTTATCAGAGGAGGAGATGTCTTAGAGCGCGTGGCCTCCATAGATTGTGTGGCTTTAGATAAGGTATTAGTAATCTTTTGTGCCTCCTATGATCATCTTCACCCATCTCTCCACTGTCTCTTTCTTATATGAAAATGGTGTATGATCAGTTTTTGTTGCCCATCAAAGTTGAACAAAATAGAGTTATTGTTTCCACCACTGATCATCATTGATATTATGTCTCTAGACTGGGACTCTTACTGAAGGAAGACCTGTCGTATCTGGTGTTGCTTCTCTAAGATACGAAGAACAAGTAGTTCTTAAAATGGCTGCTGCAGTGGAGAAGACGGCAACACATCCAATAGCAAAGGCTATTGTAAACGAGGCTGAAGCGTTGAATCTGGAAACTCCAGAAACAAGAGGCCAATTGACAGAACCTGGCTTTGGTACTTTGGCAGAAGTAGATGGACGTTTGGTTGCAGTGGGTTCACTACAGTGGGTTTCTGATCGTTTCCACAAAAAGAACGACCCCTCTGATGTGGTTAAGCTGGAAAGTTATTTGGATCATAAACTATCAAGCACCTCATCAACGTCTAGGTACTCAAAGACCGTCGTTTATGTTGGCTGTGAAGGAGAAGGGATTATTGGTGCTATTGCAATATCTGATTGCTTGCGCCAAGATGCTGAATTTACTGTAGCCAGGTAGTTTTTCCTTCCCTCCTTTTCAACCGTCGAATTTTAATAAACTAGGCAATCCTCGTTTTGAAATTTTGAGAGTCAGCATATTTACATGAAATTACTTGCTAGAGACCTTATCTGAATCTAACTATTCCTAGTTTTGCCTGTTCAAGTTAAGTAAACCTTGTGGTCTAACCGAAACAGCAGTCGTCGAGGGTCTCTAAAGTTTTGAGTTTTATGTTGTTTGTCTGACTAAAGCTTGTCTTATTAAAGGCTTCAGGAGAAAGGCATCAAAACAGTCCTCTTATCAGGGGATAGGGAAGGGGCAGTGGCAACAGTGGCAAAGAATGTGGGGATCGAGAGTGAATCAACCAACTATTCCTTGTCTCCTGAAAAGAAATTCGAGTTTATATCCAATCTTCAATCCTCTGGACATCGTGTTGCTATGGTAAGACCATCAACTGAATTGCAAGAATGATATTTTCTCAGCTTGTTTCCAAAAGACTGAAGTTAATCATGGAACTGGTGTGTAATAGAAAAATGATTCTATTTTTTTCTAAAGGTGGGAGATGGTATAAACGATGCTCCCTCGTTGGCTCAAGCTGATGTAGGAATAGCTCTAAAGATCGAGGCACAAGAAAACGCTGCTTCAAATGCAGCATCAGTCATACTCGTCCGCAACAAACTTTCACATGTAAAGATTTTCATATTCCCTTTTCAAAAGCTTCATGAGTCTCTTGCCATAGTTGAAGGGACAAGAACCAAATCTGAGGATTTCTCAGTTCAAAGTCAAAGCTGATATAATATGTTTTTGTTTGTTGTAGGTTGTGGATGCACTGAGTCTTGCACAAGCAACAATGTCGAAAGTATATCAGAATCTAGCATGGGCAATTGCGTATAACGTCATCTCGATCCCTATAGCTGCAGGTGTCTTGCTTCCTCAGTACAATTTCGCCATGACACCTTCCCTATCCGGTAAGCGGGGACCAATTCCAGATAGAATTAGTTGCAACAGAAAAGTTTGTGGTTAACTTTGACCATAAATTTGCTTTCAGGTGGACTAATGGCATTGAGCTCGATCTTCGTCGTCTCAAATTCATTACTTCTACAGCTTCATAAATCTGAAACAAGCGGAAACAGCTAGTGGTTGACTCCATTTGTTGTGGAGTCCAATCAGAAAAATGAAAGGTTTTGTGTATTATGTTCTTTTAACATTTTGTATTTAAGCTTATTGTATAGAGATTATGACGAATCTTTTAGCGTATCTTTGACAAGATTTTAGAGAGACTAGTATTTATTTCCTCAAATTTGTTCACACCTTCGTTTATCTTTGACTAGTTTCATTTTGGGTAAAGCTTGTTGACACGGAATCTTTCAATATTTTGTTCCTCGTTTCAAATTACCTGCAACTCCGCGACAACATTTCACCAGTGAAAATCCACTTCCATCCAATTGGGTAATAAAATCAGTTCCAAGAAAAAGCAAAAGAATAAAGAAGCGAGTGACCCCATCGTATAAAAAGAAGTGTGAACACAATTGATTCGTCGTATGGATGTGGTTTGGTGGGTCAGATCGAAACCCCATCTTCTCTTCACCAAAATATACAACCTCATCAATTACTAAAAATATTTTATAGCTATTAAAACTTAGATAGGAACTAATTAAGACCACAAAACTTGAGTAAGAACAAAACAAACAAAGAATGTTCGGATTTCAACACAGATAACAGATTTCAGTGTGGAAGTGAAAAGATTTCGTAGAGATTTAACTTAAGAGAGAATAAAAATACCAAACAGTTGGAAACTCGTCTATACATTCTCCGGATCTTTCTCTTAACCAAAAAAAAAAAAAAGAGTTACTTCAACATAACATAGTGTCTATCTCTTCCTCCTACGAGTCACTCGCCGTCGCCGGAAAACAAGTCGGAAAATCAGCCACGGAGTACGATCTCCATGCACAAAAACCAGACGACGACTGAGACGATGTCAAATTACCAAAAGACCCTTGACTCCTAGGATACAAAGGAGGAAGCATCATCATCCTCTGATTATGCCTCTGCCTCGGAGGAGATCCCGAGTTCGTCGGACTTGATCCCGGAGACGAAGAATCTCCGCCGGAGGAAGATCCTTCTCCTCCTCCTCCGTTCATAACCCCAGCAGCAACCGCCATAGCAAGCGTCAACGCGCTTCTGCTCGAGCTAATGATTGGTTTCTTCGAGATCCCTCCACGTGGAGTCGTCTTGTTGTTGTTCTCCCAAATCTGATGACATAGAAGATTCCGACGACGACGACTGTACGGATTCTCCGGCTTCGCTAAATCTTTCATC